AGAATCCCAGATCCCAGATATCGATTCGGCGGAATTCTAATTTCAGATTCAGACCATTTCATTGTTTATCATGTCATGCCATCCAATCCATCCATCACGTGTTGATAATCTTTCGAAAGTATGCCCAGATTTTAAAAGTAGTTTAGATCTACTAATTATTATACAGTCTCTCAGTAAGTTCTTAATATACTGGTATTTTTACTACACTATTACATCTTATATCATATATCGTATATCCTATCATATATAAATCTCAGCAACCCTTTCGAGATCCCAGACTAGCCCTAGCCAGGTAAGGTATATTAAATCTTATAATACACAATGTATATTTATTTCTTATCATGATTACAAATTACAAAATTACAAGATAATTCAAATAAATAAAAGTGAGATATCTAAATACTTCCGATTTGTAAGATTCTATTTATAAATTCTTAATAACTTTATTTTAATTAATTATCAAAGATACTAGAGAAGTTATAAGTTTGAAGAATCAAGATTAATATAATAATAAATATCAAAAGGATATTTATTATATAGATTTCTTTTAGTAGATAAAGATTTATATTCACAGCTAGTGACCTTAACCCTCATGTTTTTTGTAATTTATCAAAATATCAATATCTGTATAAGTATCAAATTAAGATTTTCTTCATTTTTTAATACATTCATTCATTCATCTCCTATCATTTTTCATACAATTCTTCATATAACATTATATTACATTATATTACCAAGCGCATTCATCCATCCATCCGTTCATCCATCTATAGTTCTGGGGGCAATTTTCCCAATATTGAAAAGCCGGGTCGGGTCACGTCACGGTTAGGTTACTGCATGAATAGTTGTTCGTACCTCTAGGCATGCTTTGATCATCCAGTCCAGTTCCATTCTCTTCCATTCCTCACACCATGTGTGTTCATTACTCATTCATTTCACCATCAATCAGACGAACAGCCGTTTCCACACTTACTTACACAATCCATTTTTTTTAAAGTTTCCTAGTTTCCTAATTTCACTGACTTAGTTCATTAGATTACCTAGGTAGGTAGATAGGTTCAAGAATATTCTATATATTCTATATATGCTCCTCATCAGTAATTTGGTTTCCCAAAGCACCGACGTTTCAAAATGCAAATAGATGATGGATGATTTTTGCATTTTTGGCGCTACATACTACATACACTACGTACATACCAGTTTTGAAAACACGAGTCTCGGATTGATTTTTTATAATGCTAGGTAGGTAGCTGCTCGATGCCATGGTATGCGCTAAATTAATTGGAATTCGTGGTTGTATGTTTGGTACGTTAATTAGTAGGTAGGTATTGAAGTAATATATATTACTTTGCGCGTATATGCGGACTCGAACTCGGAAGAATTTCAGCAAAAGCTAGTTAGCTAATTAATCTCATACTTCACGACACAATATATTTATCGATATGATATTTGTGACATACACCATACATACACATATATGTCAACAAAATAACACCTACCTAGTATCTACGAATCAAAAATCTCTAGTTAGATATCTCAGATAATTAGATATCTCAGATAATTAGATATCTCAGATAATTAGATATCTCAGATAATTAGATATCTCAGATAATTAGATATCTCAGATAATTAGATATCAGATACTTAAAAGAGTATGTGTAACTTCAAACAGACGCTTGGTCCTCGATTCCTTTCTTACTTCTTAAAGCGATTTGCAGATTCACAAATTCTATATGCATGTTCTTTCTTTGATTAAGTGTGGTTTCACTACTTACTTGGTTATTGGTTATTTACCTGTTCTTTGATATTTTGAGGCATTGATACTGGATACTGGTGTACTCGACTCGACTCGAGAGAAAGTAGGGAAATGTTATAAAGTATTCGAGTCTTCGAGTCTTCGGGTTTATATATCAAAATATGTTGCAGAGGCGAATAATTAGATATGAATTAGTTTTATAATTGGTTTCTGAGGTTATTGAATGAATAAATGATAGAATGAATGAGTAACGGTTCTATAAAATCTTCACTTTGACTACTTCACCTAGATACCTACCTAGATATATATGTTCCTATTACTTGCGCAAACTCATTCATTCAACCTGTCTCTATCTCTATATCTATTCATATCCATCACATGAAAGTACACAGTGATATAGAAACTATAGAGACCCCAAACCCCAAAAATCCATAAATTACAACTCACTCACTAACCAAAATCCTGCCTGCATCTCTCATCTCTCATCTCTCATCTCCCCGAATCGAATACTCGAATACTCGATTTCTTTAATCTATACCTAGGTACCTAGGTATGTATAGTCTCCTTAACCTTTCATTCTCTCCAATTATCCATGTATTCCATCTATTTCATCATCCCATCCCATCCATCCATCAAACCATCTCCGCCCAGCGAAAGACTCATGTACACAGTAGCGACGACCTATCATCCTATCATCTTACCATAGTAGTATATACTTACATGCCTACTTACTCACAACCACCCCCCCCTCCCACCCCTTCCCCCTCTCCCCTCTCTCACCTCCCCCCCTCACGAACATCAAACCACCACACTACCACAAATGACAAATCCAATCCTTAAAAAAAACTTACCAAAAATCAACTAAACATTCTATTTCTATTCCTCAGTCCTATCAACTCTAAAATAATATAACATACACAAGTATAAATTATAAAGTCAAAAAAATAAAATATTTTAGAATATTTTAAAAATAAAATATTGAATAAAATTTTTAAAGAATTAAAGATTTATAAATAGATTTTTATTAATATTATAATAAAGAAAAGAAAGATATTTATTTACTTTTATCAAATTATTTATTTTTATTCTTTTATTTTTATTCTTTTATTTTTATTCTTTTATTTTTATATACTTTATATAAAATCAAAAACTTGATTAATAAAATAAAAGTAAATTAAAAATAAACATTCACTTATATATATTCTAAAGTTATCACTATACCAAATTAAATAATACTCTGACTATTTATTCTGATTCCGACTCTAATTCTCATTGTAAATATTGTATGAATTAATCCTAGATATTCATCTCAATTCTTATCCTCATCTACCTCACCGTCTTCCTCTTCGTCTTCCTCCCTATCTCAATCACCTCTCCATCCATATCTTTCATCCCACTCCATTCCCTTGAATTGCCACTTACTAACCCACTATCCTAGTTCTCAATTAGAGCATAGCTCCCTCTGTCCATGTTTATCAACCACTTCTGTAGATACAGAGTACTCAAGCCCTATAGTACCATATATACTTTCCCTTGGCTTTCGCTTCTTCCCTCTATTCTTCCCTTGGATTTGTTTCGATTCAATTCATTCCATTCCATCAAATCCCCTCAGTAGTTTACTCTCATACACACTTAGAACTCCCATGCACAACCCCATTCCACCCTCATCCCACCTTATTTACTCCCCTTCTTCACAACCTCCCCCTTTAACCCAACAGCAAACCAACACCACCCTATCAAAACATTAAACACACAACTCCTCGCTTCCTACCCCCAAACCCCCACCGCCAAAGCCTCGTTAAAAATGAAACCCAAACTCCAAACTATGCACCGAAACCATAACCATATAACTCCCTCCAATACTCATACATCCATCCATCATATAAACCACGCCGCCTAACTTTACAACCCTCAAAAACATAAAAAAAACCAGAAAACTCTTAAAAGATCAAAACGCTAATGACAGTGGTATATGCTATGGTTGAAAAATTGCGTTCCTTGGATGAATTCCCGTCCCATCCATTTGTATTCCTTTCCATCCCTTCCATCTTTTCCTTTTCATCCGCGCTTAAGTACCAAATCCATCCATCCCCATTCATTCATTCATTTTCAAATTCAAACTGGTCAATGGAAAAATTCCCCGCCGATCTCAGATATCAAACATACTGGCAAGAGATAACTAGGAAGATAAACGAAGATAATGCATCTCACCCAACGTTGAGATATCCGAAGTTGTATGCTTGAATTAAGTCTCACTATCAAAAGCCCACTCTTCCATTACTATTGAATCGATTGTTCATATAGTGAGATGGACTTAGCATGATTGTAGGTCCATCATTAACACCCAACTGAGAAGTCATGGTGCCAGCTCTTGATCCATTCGATAAATAAGTATCCGCACGTTCATAGACATTGCCATGAAACATTGCACCAAACGCTGAGCTTTGTGGAGTCGAGGGAACAGTGGCTTGAACCGCCGGTCCTAAAGCTGCACTTTGTGGGGTCATAGGTAAAGGAACTTGCGAGGCAGGTGATTGTGTTGTATAAGAACCATTTGAACCACCATTTACTTGTCGATTTGCTAGGAAACCCCAAGGTGATGCCGTGATCATTTGTCCCGTTTCCTTGATAGCTCTTTGAAGAGGTCTGAGAAGAACGATAACTTCGGTTGGAACAAAACTAATCACGCCTTTAACTTCCTTGACCTTGACGACTAAATCGAGATATGACTGCATACATTAATAAATATCAAGCTGTGATAACGATTAGGTATACTTACATCTACCATCGCCCAACACATCTCCCAGAATCCCTTTTGCTCTCTGATATCAGGATCTTTGAGTTTGATTGTTGATAGGCGAGATTTCAATGAATCGGCTATGTTCAATGCGTTCGTGCATTTATGAATTAATAGTTGCCAATACTGTTTGGCAAGATCTGCATTACTTGAATTGGCACTTTTTTGCATGGACCCGAGGAAATGGGCATTGACATTGGGAAGGGTTCTGAGAGCCATTTCTGATGTTTGTTGTAGACGTAGAAATATTTTTTCGAAAATTTTATCCTCCTCGGTAAAGGCTCCTATCATACGTCCACTGGTACCTGTTGAGACAAATGACTCTCCAGAGCGTGGTGTGGCGCTCGTCATTGTAGCAGAACGTCCGTTTCCGTTGACAAATGGTGGTGGGGCATCTATTGCAACTCGTAAATTATTCGAGTGCTGGATGACCGTCGCGCTTCTCGTTCTAAAATTTGCGCCAGGTCTGTCTCGGGTTGGAGTGACTGATTTATCTCTAATTTGATACCCCGCCCCATAATTACTTTCCGGCTGTCTACCAACTCGGCTTTGTCCAGGAGGAAACAAGCTCGCACCAGCATTTCGTACTTCCGCTACGCTTCCGTATAATTGAAGTAGTAGCGTACGAATATATCGAGGATCGCCGTTAATGAGAAGGATTTCCACGTTTTGTGATAGTTGAGCACATACGTGAATGTATGCACCAACGCAAGTTAAACATGCACGTTTGACGTTTTCGTTTGACCTAGGAGAAGCCTCTTCGTCTTCTTCCGAGTATGAATCATAGCGTTGAACATCTTGATCTAGCTCTTCTACGTGTGTTTTGGCGTTGTAAAATACTCTCTCCAGTGTCGATTTCTTCTCGCCAGGATTCCGAACCAGGCCAATCAGTGTTTCAATAAGGGGATGCACTTGAAACAAAGCATACAATACACCCTTAGCTCCTTCAATAATAGGATCTGGGGAAGTAGATTCTCGCTTGCGTTCGGGTAAACTTGACAAGCGACGGACATAGGCGGCTCGCTGGCCACCGGAATCTGCTGGGCTGGCCGGACTAACCGTGTTGCCGTTGGATCCAGTACCGTTACCTTGCATTGCAGATCCATGACTGAGACCTCTGTTATGAAGACTGTAACGATTAGATTTGTTTGTCTCGTCAACGGTTCCTAGTTCGGCCGCTTTTCTTGAAACAATACCCATTCGTCGTGAGCGATCTGATGAAGAACGGTCTGGGCGATCGCGATTGGCCTGAAGGAGGCCTTCGCTGTTACTGCGAACCCTTTCATTTGTGCTTCCAATTGTGAGAGGCATGACTCCAGGTCGCCGGAGTGCTGCGTTCTGTTGCGAGTAGCCTCTTTGATGCGATCTAGAGGGTATAGGAGGTGGTCGAGGCTGAGCTGGTGAAGGGGGAACGCCGTCGACTTTTATAGGGAATCGACCGCTTACAACACGCTTCATAGGTCGCGGAGTCTCGGTACCTTCGCTTGATTCTTCTCCACCAGATTCGGTTTCGGGTCGACCCATGGCCTTCTGCTTCAAAAATCTTTTGATCTGTGTTGTAACAGTAATATCATCTATCTCACCTTCTTGCGGACCACCGCCACTAGGGGAGTTCATGGCTTGCGGTTGGAGAACCTCTTTAGGTGGAAATCTTAAGGGATTTCCATCCAATTTAAGAATTTGAAGGGACGTCATATCTGCCACACATAAAGGAAGCTCATCAATTCTGTTATTTTGGACGGATAGAACTTTCAATGATGTCAAGTTCACAATGTCTGGTGGTAAGGTGCGAAGTTTATTTCGTCCGAGGTCGAGGATTTCGAGAGAGGTCAACTGGCATATCTAAAACAAAGTCAGCCACTTTGAGCTTGCTCTCAACTGTTTTGATCATGCATACTGCTAGCGGGAACTCTCGAATAATATTGTTTCGAACGTTGAGATATCGTAGTGAGGTACATTCTGCGAATTTGGCGGGAAAGGTCTGAATCTCGTTGTGGGATAACGCAAGTCTGTACCATGAATATTTGTTAGCTTTGTCTTGTTCCTTCAAAAGAATGAAAACAACTAAAGTCCGAGACTCTGGAGAACTCAACATGGCAGATTGAAAAGTTTAAGTAAGTCCCAGGTCTGCTGTAACAAATGAAAGAGTGTAAATACCGTTCAAGCTCGACTTTTATGATGTCAACAACCTCCTCCGGAAATCTTTGTATGCGTTTATGGCTCAAATCGATCGTAACTCCTGGCTTCAGCTCGTTGCTGACGGCGCTTGACTCTGTAGCTTTCACTATGTTTTCCTCCAAGGCTTTATTCATATATTCCCGTGCTAATGCGATGACTTGTCCCTGTGATAAAGGGAGCTTAGAAGATAGCGCGGAGTTCGACTGAGCATGTCGACCCATGGGACCACGTCGAGATGCGCTCAGATTTTGTGGCCTAGGACCTGAACCTGCAACTGGACCTGGCATGCCATTTTCGAACTTTGGACGACCCGATGACATTATTGCGGCTCCAAGGGGAGGACCATTTAGGCGGTCCATCATGGGATCTCCTACTTCAACCCTTTCAATTATATGTTGTCGTTGTGTCTGGGGAGATGTGGCAGAAATGTTTCAACACTTTCTCGATTCGCGAAAAAGGGACCAGACCCTTATCAATTCGATGGCGAATACCTGAGAAATCGGATATCTGAATAGGAGGTAAAGTCAAAAATTGGTGGAGAAGAAAGGATCAGCAGCATAATGAGGGGTTTATGTCCTATGTAACACCATGTATCCGTATTAATTTGAGGGAGGAATGTTCGAGGGTTTTCTGTTTCTTCTGTCGCAATTGAACTCAACACTCAACTCCTCGTTGTCACATTGACATTGGCATCATGATTTTCGGTTAAGCTTTCTCTAAAGAGGTAAGCGCCGGCTTAACATTGATGCAAGGTACCGATAAGTTTAATACAATATGCATTTCGCTTTTCTTGAGTACAGGACAGTGGTAAGTGTAACCTCGAATTTATATCTTCATGTTTTGTGGTGCTGGGTATTTGTTCTTCGGTCAAAGGATGAACACGATCACAGTTGTTCTTCTCATAAATTCATCAACTTTGACTGTGGTCTATAGGGCTAAGGGTAAGGATATCTTATCATGAGAGCTAGATTCTTGACAAGAACTGCTTGGTAGATAATATTTTGATATCTTCCTTCATTTGACTCTTACAATATACCTTGCTTGATGCTTCAGATAGAATACATTCATTGATACATATCGGATCGAACTAATCTCTTCTCTCACAACAATTAATCTATACTCTTACTTTACTTCACTCATTTTGATTCACGAATTCCTGCATATTACCTGAGATTTAGGTGACAGTTTCTTCAACAAATTGCCATAACAACCAGCTCAACCACACAAAGTGTTCATCAACCACACTCTGTTAAGCTTCTACCTCAGTACTTCCAAATGGCTTCATCAAGATCCTTTTCAAGGTCTGACTCTTGTGTTGATATCGACTTTACACTGCGGCGTACATTCAAGAAGTCTTCATTCAGGTAGTCCACCCTAGCAGATATTCCCAAAATATGAGCTAACCTTCTTCTTAGGCCTCTGCAACGAGAGGTTATAGTTGCCGCATTGGATGGGCATGATGTCTTCATTCAAGCTGCCACTTCATTTGGAAAAAGTTTATGTTTCCAATTGCCTGCAGTGATCGATCACGGAAGTAAGTCTTAACGGTTACTTCGAACTGCTCACAGCGTCTATGCTTACATCTTAAAGTCACCATTGTCATTTCGCCGCTACTCTCATTAATGGTGAGTTTTAACCAAATATGGTTTATCTTATACTTACTTTGAGATAGACCGATCAAGTAAATGCCTTGCAATCTGCAGGAATCGCAGCAGGTACCATCAATGGTAATACAGCTTGGCCTGAACGACAACGTCTCCTTGCAGACCTTGAATCTGGCCACCCACTCACAAGACTTCTATATGTGACTCCTGAACAATGCTCTGCGGAGGGGTTCCGCAAACATCTTCGAACTGTGCATGAACAACGAGAGCTTGCTCGGATTGCCGTTGATGAAGCACACTGTATCAGCGAATGGGGCCATGACTTTAGAAAATCCTTTAAGAATCTTTCCTGGTTTCGAGAATCTTTTCCAGACGTTCCAATCATATGTTTAACAGCAACAGCTACGGATCAGGTGCGTCAAGATGTTTTAAGCACCATGGGTCTGTCGGAATCAAATCTGAAGGTATTCAGAATGACAACAAATCGCGAGAACCTCCATTATGAAGTAAGATTCAAGTCAGACGAATTAGATCATTTCAATGATTTTCTACATTGGCTCAAGGGAGTTCATAGGAATCGAATGGAGAATCCAGAACGTCGGGCCGAACTGGAACAAAAGCATGAACGTCTGGATAATGTATCAGGCATTATCTACACTCTTTTTAGGCAAGATTGCGAGAGCCTTGCATCTAGATTGAGAAATAGTGGAATAGGGGCAAGAGCTTACCATGCCGGACTTACTCACGAAGAAAAGACCGAAACTTTAAATCGATGGATCAATAATGATAAAGGCTATGACGTGATAGTTGCGACAACAGCCTTTGGCATGGGAATAGATAAGGAAAATGTACGTTTTGTCGTTCATTGGCAAATCCCAAAGTCTTTCGAAGGCTTTTATCAAGAAGCTGGCCGCGCTGGAAGGGATGGAAAAGCCAGCATACATATCATGTATTACAGCCGAGAGGATCGTGACCGAGCATACAACAGAGTATCCCGTGATGCCAAAGAAAGAGTTAATCTGGAAGCCAGGATAAAGAGCTTGAAGGCCTTAGTTTCCTATTGCGAGGAAACTGATATGTGCCGACACGAGCTAATTTGCAGGTACTTTGGGGAAAATGTGGTGCCTGCCTGTGATTATGCTTGTGATTGGCATAAAGATGTGAAAGGTTTGAAAAGAGCAAAGCTCAACGATTTGATGAGTGAAGAGTATGTAAGCACACAAAGGGAACAGGGTCTTTTTAATAATGGATACGACGAATATGATTGATCTCAGTATCTTTGTCTTACCATTTTGTTACAATCAGAGTCAATAAGTACTTACATTTGCACATGCATGTTTGGAAAGTCATTCCCTCATTTGGCTGTTGAAGCTTTCAGTATCAGTAAAGCATTGCCACACACAAGGTTCATGTCCGCATATCATACCTTTGGAAATTGCAAATGAGGGACCTATATTCTTCCACTACGCTTTGAGAATGTGCCAGTCGATTGCTTCTGCAAAGGGGTCAAACAATCATTGTCAAAACTGGAAAGTTATATACACCAGCTTTTCCACCACAAGAATCGCCATTCAACTCAACAAGACTATCTCTTTCTTACTTACAAACACATTCTCAAAACATCAACTCTCAACTCTCAAATCTCAACCACTCTAATCGCCTCCACCATCCATGAGTACCAGTACCAAATAAATTCAATTCAAAATGACGTGTTGCGAAAACTACCGCGAAACTAGTTCGAAACCCGTCCCAGTAAATATCGCACATGGTTTGAATTCCTCTCATCTAGAAGCCGTGTACAAAAGCATCTGGAATCGCTTTACTACCATCGATCAAAGCGAGAGTGATCGAGCAAATATCCCTTTGGGATCTACTCCCCAATAAGGTGACGGTATCGAGGGGTTAAGCGTAAACTGGTAGAGAATATTGCTGGTGAATGGGCCGTAAACGAGTAGACTCTTATTATGGAGAATAATTTCATGTTGGGGTTGTAGGTTTTTGCTTTCTATTCATCCCTTCTTCTCGTATTAATATTGTCTTCTCACCCTTTAATCTTTCTCTCTACACGTAACTTCAATACAATATAATACAATCGCAAAGAGAGCTGATTTAAAACTCCCTCCACACCCCGGATAAAATGGCGTATATTATCGACGAATAATCCCCATGCAATCATCCATAGCAATATCAAGGATAGTAAACTCGAACAGCATCGTATGGTCTCCTCGGAAGATGACGGAGAAACATGGGGGAGAATTAATTTTATTGTGGATGATGGGGATGGATGAAGGAAAAAGGAAGAAGTAGTGGTTATTGAGGTCATCAATACCTACCTAGGTAGGTAGATATTATGAGCTTGTGGAGTGCATGAAATGTATCGCAGTCTTATTATTGGGTGACTGATTGACTGATTGACTGGTAAGTTCTTGTATCTATCACTTCAGGTATACTGGTACAGGACTGTATAGCTTTTCGATGTCCTGCCTAGAGTGAATCATGGATATCACGTTTATACCTATCTTAAAATTACATCAGTATCACTGTCCAAAACACAAGAATGTATGATGATATAGTCATCTTGAACAATAATCTTTCCAAACATTAACCCCTTATAATTATATAGTTATCGCCAAATAACCGCATGATGCCTTCGAACTTCCCACTTTAGCATAAACCTATCTACTACGTCGCATTCGTATTGCATTATGTAATCTTATATACAAGCAAGCACGAATGTAATGCATTGTAACACAAATGGGTATCATAAAGCATCCTTCCCAGAACCCAACCATACCATTTGGAATGCCCATAAAAACCTTCAGCCTGTACTCTCGACCAATTTTTACCTATTACCAGGCAGAAACCCCTTCTCTGCCCATGATTTCCTCTCTCTTCCTGCCACTGGCATAAGAACGCCCAGTTTTCCGCCCTTGATCGCCAGCTCGACTGCGCCCACATCTTCGTCATCTGCAGTGAAAATGGAGCTATTATTTCTCTCCTGCTTAGGAACATATTCTTTGTTCTGATTCGGATGCCAACCCCTATCACTCCTCTCCTTTCTCACTTGCGCCGTAAGAAGTATTCCAAAGTTCGCCTTCTTCCCACCACGTGCATCAATTTCTTTGCGTTTAGCCTCGTACCAGTCTTCGGATTTTTCTTTTGGCCAGACGACTCGAGGATCGATGTTACCCCAAATTTGTGTTTTGGCAGCGGTTTCTGGCTGGGGCATAAGATTCTGTTCTCTCTCGACCTCGGCACGGGCTTGGGACTCTATTTGTACACTTAAATAATGGTCGAGAACACTGGGATCGTAGGTCTTGCAGCGCAATTGACGTTGATATTCGATAGTGTGGGGTTTGTAGTCACCATAGAGTGGTGCCGTATGCGTCGGCTCTTTTTGATTTGGTTCCTTTTGTTGTAATTGTGAAGCTGAAGATTCCGAATTCGAGGACATTTCCCGGGATGGTGGGGTTGCAAGTTCATTCGTTGTGTTGATGAGATTTTGTTGATTTTTCTGCCGAAACTCTTTCTCCATCGTGGAATTTGATTCAGCTTCTTGGTCTTCCTGAGTACTAGCTTTTCGTTTCAGAGCTAGATGTGATACATCGTGGTTCATACCATCGCCTTGCAACAAAGACTCGGTTCTTACTATTGGTCGATTTTCCCACCCACGTCCCAAAATTTCCTCTCCGTTTCCTGTATTGCCCCAACCACATGTGGACACTCCCTTGTCGTTTTCAGAATTAGAATGATGCATGTTTCTTGCTTCTTTGCTGTTACTCGGTTTCAGTAATGTAGGTTGTGATGTCTCCATAGTTAGATAAACAACTTGAACTCGAGATGTGGAAGAAACTACCGAGGATGATTCCTTCAACACCTTGTTTAGACCAAGTTGGGGAGTTTTACTACCAGGATTCTTATTATTCGAGAAGGTGAAGAATTTTTCAGGTGCCTGTTTAGTATTTGACAGTGGATCGAACGGGGACCGGGATGGGGACCCCAATTCTTGGGGAAATGCATCCTCAGACTCCGTCCCACCCCTTTTTGCACTTCCTGCATAGCTCTAAGCTCGTCTTGTAT